TATTGCAGAAAACAAATAAATAAATGAAAACTTCGAAGTGTGTAGTTTTCAAGATTAAACTGTATGTTTATTAGCATAACCATTCTGGCCAAAAAACTAAGCATAACCATGGTGTGTGTAAGAGAAAGAGATATTAAATTCATACCATGACCATGGTGTATAGGTTGGTGAGTGAGGATAGAGAACGAAGCAACAATATGATTAGTCCACCGCCCTCCACGGTCTCTATTGTTCTTGCTAGTAGATTTGGAGTCAAGGCCTCAAAATCCTTGATGCAGAGTAAGAGCAAACTTAGTCTTGAAAAAGCAGGGAGCAATTTTTTATACGAGTAGTCAGCTAGACTAGAATATTTGGTAAGAGATAATTTGCAAGTTACCTGAAGTATACACATTCCAAAGGTATTACCAAGAACTCTTTCCGAATCCTTGTATAAGCAATAAGTTAATCCCCCACTTTCAACAAAAAGTGAGAAAGGATCAACCTTCTCAGGATCAAGCAGCCCTCTCTGCATCAGCTTTTTGACCTGCTTAGCACGTTTTTTCTTGTGACTGCATTAAATAGTTTAACGAATTAATGTTGTGCAGCCACTTTTTAAACGAAATTCCTTCCAACAAAAATGAAAAATGAAACAGAACCTGCTGAGCTCAAGCTTGTCCTTGTAGCACCACAACACAGTAGGCCTTGATTTCTTTACTTCATTGCTTAGCATATAATGAAGATTCACAATCTAAAACCAATATAAAACTACATAAGAGCCATATCTTGATTCTATTCGAAACCATTCTCAGCACCCAAACAAATTATAACGAAAGCACAGAGAGTAATCGAGTAGAAAAAGGAGAAGAGTGTACCTGGTCGCGGGACTTGTCGCCCACGATGACGAACATGGAGCGGTGCCTGTTTTTGACGCCATTGCTTATTAGGGTTCTGATGCGTTCGTCAACCTTCTTCCTCATCCTCTATCTTCTCTGCAATTCGTTCTCTGTGTGTATTTGGCTGGGCAGCTCTACAGTTGTTGCAGGGTATAAAAGAGGGGAGAGAGACGGACCTACAGTAAGAAGAATGGCGGACAATGACCGGAGCTGGAAGAACGACTACGGTGAAGTTGCTGTTCACGGTGGCTGCAACTCCTGCGGTTTCAGATCGAGTTTCCGGCGGCTGGAGAGGCTAACGGCGTCGGGTCTAAGGTGGGTCAGGTAGAGGAGAGTGTGGGGAACAATTTCCCTGAAGGGTGTGTGGCCAAAATATGAACGGACGGCGCCGGAACGTCACCGGAAAAACAAGGGGCTGTGCTGCCCTGTTTTTCGCGAGAGGGAATGAGAGCGAGATTTTACGCGCGGCTTAGGGTTTTGGGGGTCTGGGGTTTTATTGATATGTCCATCTTATACGTAGGGGGGTGTATTTTAAAACATTTTGTTTAAGTGGCACATTTCATGGGAACTTTATAAGTACTATAGATTTCACCTGGACTTCATGAAACTTTTTTTTTTCTGAGAACCTCGACGGAACTAGGGAGGACTTAATGAAACTTTTATAGGCTTAGACATTCATATTTTTATATAGACTTTTGTTATATTTTTCTGTGAATTTGCATAAACTTTACTCACAATATATAGCAGGGCTTACACTCGATGTAAACTAGAGCCCCAATCAGCTTCTTAAGTCCTCAAACAGAGATAACAACATTTCTTTTCTTATATCAATGAATTACTAGAACAACCATCAGTGCACCTAACAGTAAACGGCAAACAAAGTTTGTGTCACATGCTAAACTAGAGGTTAATATATCTATCATCTAAAACCCAGTTTTTCCTTTATTTTGGAGAGATGGCAAAATAAAAAATTTCAGCAATGTGTTTTTTACTTCAATGCATGGGAATTGGCAACTAATCCTCTGTTTTACTTCTATGTTCAGTTAATCATTTCAAATTCCATATATATTGCTGCAAGCAGCTTTGTTTTTGACAATTACATATCGAGCCATAGATTTTTAATGGTCACTCTACAAAGTATTTCTATGATATGCTTTGCCCATGTAAAGTTTTCGACTTTTCTTTCTATCTCAGTAAATCAACATGAAACATCATAAAAACAAAAATTATTATGCTACCAGAGATACCCATAGTTTCACGGAAAGCAAAATTATAAGAAATTTTAAGCAATTGGCATTCACGAAGGTATAGTGACAAATTTATACGAAGTTTGAAAGCAATACTTAAAGGAAAATATGTTACAATCATTAATTATCCTTTATTCTCATTGTTGTCATTGTGCCCAACATCTCTCCACGTATTCAAAGCTATACCAACTCTCCATTCATTAGCATTTGCTCGTTGTTGTCTTGTGTTTGGAAAACTAGTTCAGCACTTTCACTTTTCATTTACTTTTTTTTTTTTTTTTATTGTTGCATTTCCAATTGATTCCAATTTGCAAATCTCTTCATAGTCTTCACAAGTTTTTGTTCGAATATGCTTGTGGGTTGGGTGGGACTATAAAAAAATAATTAAATAATAATATTCATAATGAGTTCTTTGGTTACTACATAACACATATTTAAAGAGAAGTTACGTATTAGTAATGGGTATGGAAGGAAAGGGAATGATTTCCATTCTTGACTTCTCCTGCGTTTACTTGCAATCAATAATGAAAAAATAAGTGGGCCCCACCTCAAAATTCGTAATCACATTCTCTCAAAACTAGGAATCAGATCAACTAGGGGGGAGTAGTCGATACGATTCCCATTCCTGTTTTCTCTTAATAACTTCCAAAAATACCCTTATCACTTTACCATAATTCTAAAATTAATTTGGATTCCGATTCATGCAAATTAGTAAACAATAACAATGGGAATCAATCCCATTCCATTGCTAATTCCATATGTTTAGTAAACAGCTTAATGGGAATGATTCTTTCCATACCGATTCAATAGTTCTCCGATTCCTAAATTCTTTGATTCCTTAGTTTCTCCATTACTGATACGTAAACATGCCCTTAAAGTAGTCTTCCCAAACTTCTTCAAGAGTGGTGAATTTCTTTAGGGTCCAAATTTTTTTCAATGATCCAAATCATCTATTTTTAAGTCTACATTCATAGATCATCCTTGCAAAAAATTAGACAAATTGGAAACCTTTTCAATATCCAATTGTGTCTTACAAAATCAATGAACACGGTGCTTCAAGAAAGTACTAAAATTTCAATAACTCAATTGAGTGGTCAAATGATATCGGATTCAAGTGATTTTTTTGTAGAGATGATCTTTGAATGAGCATCTACAAAATAGACGGTTTGGATTAGTGAAATACAATAAGGAGTGGGCCATACAAGAGTGTCCCTCAAATAAGCTAATTTGAGGGATCCCTCAATAGAAGGTCTCTCTCAATGTAAGCTTTTCAACAACAACAAAAAAAAACACAAGACATAACAACATAATATTCTTCATAACTTAGTACAATCAACATAATAATCATACCTTAGCAATGTGAAAAAAAAATATTTCAAAACATGTGTCCGTATTGATTGTGTGAAGGTACATATAATAATCTCATTCCCATGAGGTGTTGTCATGTTGTTTGCAATTGATTGGAGTTGCTTATCCATACAAAAAATTGGATGTCCTCCACTAATGAGCGGGAATTCAAGATGAATTCCCAAATGAGTGTTGATGACGAGAGTTTCAATAGGATTGCTAGTGTAGGAAGCATAAACCTTAACCCCAAACTAAACCCTAATAACAAGCAAAACTTCTATAAAAACAAGAAAAACACAATCAAGTTATCATCAACGAACAATAATAATAATAAAAATCGTGGAAGAAGGAAGAAAAAACAACAAGAAAAATAGATTGAGAGAGAGCGTACCTTCACAGATGGAGGGTTGGTCGTCTTCTGCAAAGAGAAAAAAAAAAGTTGTTTGAAATCTTTTTTTGGGAGGGGGAAGGTTGGACTTATGTTGGCCTTTGTTATTTATACCTCACACCTAAAAATTCACCAAATTCAACACTCAATTAAATCCTTTCCAATCAAACAAGTTTGGATTGAATACACCCAAACTTTTATAGACTTTTTAAAAGTTAGTAAAAATCCAAATTGAATACATCCGGATTTTTAAAGTCTTTAAAAAGCTTATAAAATCATAATTGAATACACCCCCTTAGTAAATTTTGAGTTTTATTTGTTCAATACGTTTATTGATAATTTACATAACATCTATGAACGTTTTACTAGTACTCACATGATGGTGTATTCAATTGCGATTTTAATAGATTGTAATAACAGGATTTTAATGTAATGGATTCTAGAAGGATTTGTAATTACAAGATTTTACTTATTATTTTAATATATTGTAATTACAGAATTTTACTTATGATTCACTTAGGACTTTTTTGTATTTTCCATTCCATATGAAACAAAAATCATGTATTAATTATGCCACATAGATAAATAACCAATAGAGGAAAGTAATAACAATAACTTCGTGTAGCAACTAAACATGGCTTAAGGAAAACAAAAGTTATTCAAGATATAATAAACATTTGTTGGAGCTCCATCTCTTCATATGACCTAGATAGCATCTCTCCACATATTTGAACTTATGATAGCTCTTTGTGAATTAGCATTCTCTCTTTGTTGCTCTTGGGTTTGATAAATTTGTTCAAAATTGTCATCTTCATCAATCAGTATTGATGAGGATTAAGATGATGAAGATTCATCAATTGGCTCAATAGGAAATTCATTGGAATGACACTCCTTACACAGAAAGTTATGTAATGATGCACATGCCAACACTAGCTCTGCTTATACAAAATGGAGGAGCCAACTTAAAAATTGTGAATCTTGATTTAAAACTACCAAATATTCTCTCAATCACATTTCTTAAGGATGCATGGCGAAGGTTGAACAACTCATTTTCATTTTCAGGGGTCACGACCATGACATGCAAAATCTTGGAGATGATGCATACCTCGAAAAAGAGCTAAAAATTGGCGTCAGTTTGAAAAGTTGATGATTGTTGAGGAAGAAAAGTTGATGATTCCTGAAATTATTTGTATAATGTTGGTGTGAGGGGAAATATGGTTTCTAAAGTGAAGTTGATGATTGCTGAGGAAGAAATGTTCCAGGGAAAGGCGTTGTCCCTTTCCCATACAAAAACCGCAATCAGTACCATAAAGAAGAAATTCAGTCCGCAATAGCTACGAAGGTTTGAAGAGAGTTGTTTTGGTCATCTCTTACTCATTGAGGACCTTAAGTGGACTTCACAAATTGTCCACGGCTTGTTGCTGAGGAAGGCTGATTCGAAGACAGTTTCCCAAGTCAATGGGATAAAATTCATCGTTGGCAATAAGGTGATCCAATTCACGACGCAACAATTTTGCGTTGTCACAGGGCTAAGGTTTGGAAACCTTCCTTTCATTCCGATTGCAACTAATGAGAATTGCTCATTGAAAAGGAAGTACTTTTGCAACGATAAAACTGTCAACCTTTGGAACTAGAAAAAGTCTTCCTCGACTGCGTTGATGAGGATGATGTATTCAAGCTTGGATTTGTATACTTTGCTGTTTTTGTGCTGTTGGGCAGTGAAAAACATGTCCACATTGACATGCAGTATTTGAAATTAGCGGAAGACCTTGAAGAGTTTGTAAAGTATCCATGGGGTGTTGTTTCTTATGCCAAGACAAATGTCTCACTTTTGATGGCACTTTGTGCCGATTACCAATGAGTAAAAGTGCCCCAAAAAGCTACAAAAACAAAAAAATCTGAAAAGAAAGCAAAGACAGCGACAAGTGGTAGTCCAAAAGAGTACCACATCAAAGATTTTGGCTTTGCACTTTAGGTGAGCAAATTTCCATTCATGTATAAGTCCAATTTCATTTGTTTACAGTCATTGACGTTTTATTCTTCATACTAGATTTGGGCTTTTGAGGTCTTTCCAGCGTTGGCTGCACTGCATTTTGTCGTGCACAAAGAGAATGCCCACATCCCTTGTATACTATAGTGGATGAGCAATACTTCGGCTTGTTTTCATGAGCTAATGAGCCAACTATTCGAGAACCGTGAGATTAGTTATGTTTTTAATGATAATGTTATGCATATGAAAATATAATAAGTTTACAGATATGTATTTTGTATATGTAAATCGCAGGTTGATGTGCAACTTCTTCGCCCAAGTGTAATTGACAAGCATCAGCCCATATTGGACTTGGGGTGATAGTGTTGACGACACTGAAGAAATTGTTGAGTTGTTGGGCGATGACGCCAAAGAAAAAACTAGCACTTCTGCTTATGTTGAAGAAAAAAATGTTGAATTTGACGAAATTGCTACCCTTCCATCGTCTTCTAAGGCAAGCATGACCTTTTTGCAATATATACGTCATAATAAACTAAATGGCGCTGCTATATAATTAGTATATAGTCAATACAATAGCAAAACAGTAGCTGTATTTGGGATATATTTTGTAAGTATTGTAACAATTACATTATAACTGAATGCAAGGTAAAGTCTCGTCTACTGAGTTATGCACTTTGAAGCGTGACTTTCAAAGGACAAAGGATGAATTGGCCAAGGTAGCCAATTCAAATCAAGTGCTTTGAAACAAAGTGCATGACTTGGAAGAAATGGTACGGAATGAGTCGTTGAAACTTGAAAAGGAAAAAATAAAGTGGAGGATTTTGGCAAGACCCTCGCTTCAATCGAACACTATTTTAAGCTGGAGATAGAGCAGTTGAAAAAATGAAATGGTGGGTTGAATGAACGTGGGGAAGGACATGAGGACCTTGGTAGTCCTCATATGAATGAAGGAGGCGACAATGACATGTCGCCCTTACATGAATATGTTTCTCTGACTACATAACCGGCAGCAATGGAAGCACAAGTCCCCGGTGATGGAGCCGAAGTCTGCGCAACCATGGAAGTCCAAGAGGCAGAAATGGACGCTTCAGTTCCTCACATACAAGTGCAGCAAGGAGCTGGGCAGCCAGAATCTAATAAGCTTCCTACTCCGGAAGATGTGGATGGGTGCGGAGAAATCTGCAAAAAACTGTTGTTTTTGTTAGAGGATTGGAAAAAGAGCGACATTATGCCATCGGGAGGTCAGATGAATCCTCCCATCATACCCAAAGTTATTGTGCCTGGTGATGATGAAGGTAGGTCGACTGTTGAAAAACAAGAGGTGGAAGGTAAAGGGTGCAAAAAGAAGCGACCGACCTAGAGATTGTTGAGTCCATTTACCGATCCTTCGAGTAAGAAGATGATGATGAGTGTTTTGGATGCGGAGGCAACCCCGCCATGTTTTGATCCATCTAAACCCCTGCCCATTGAAGATGTCAAAGCAGTAATAGAGTTTTGCACTGCCTGGAAAAACGATATAAGGTTAGGATTCTTTACCTTGGAAATCCAATCTTCATGTTATTGTAGTATGCAGTTATATACCAATAAGAAAATGTAGCTACCTTTAATATACATGTGTGTATTTGTCATAATTTACAATGTCACAATTATTAAATGAGTACAAAATTGAGCGTTGGAAGTTTGCCTATTGTAGTGCGAAGGTGCAGCTGGAATCATGTTCAGTGGGCCCTGAGTTTTTCTACAAATTGATCGATGATACGGAATAGATTAGCTCAAGGGTAAGAATTTTAACTCTACTTTATTAGGATAATTAAATTGTTTTCTCACCTTTGTTAAGTGTACATTTGTATGAAATTGTGCTCATATAATATACATCAACTTCCAGCACCTTGACGTGGCAACCTTTCTCATTCGAAAAAGGCAACTATCTCATCCGTTGGTATTTGGAACTCACTGGACAACGACAGATTATTGCTTGCAGGTAAACATGTTAACATGTTACATTCAGTGCTTCAGTTGCATCAGTTTGTCATTCTGTAATATGCCTTAATTTCAATGTTTGCAGCAATTTCTAGAGCCGGTCAAAGGGCCTACCAAGAAACGAGGATTAAAGAAGGCAGCTGCTTCAAACACCGTTGACCTTCCACTCAGCAACCTGAACAATACACATCACTATGTGCAAGGTACGTGGCAACACGAGTATGGGCAAGCTTGGACCAAGGTCCGAAAGGTCTATTTTCCATATAATCTTCAAGAGTCCCACTGGGTTGCAATCGAAATTGACTTTGTGAGACATACTGCAACTGTGTATGACTCGTATATTGCTTTTACATAAACTTCGAAGCTAGTCAAATATCTGCACTCTATTAGTGATACTCTGGCACGGGTGCTGTACGATATGCACTTTTATGACACTTCTGAGGTTGAAGAGGTTAAGCAAAAGGGGATGAAGATGTCCATGTTTATGCCATTCACAATTTGCAACATTGGAGATGTGCCACAACAACGTGATGGGTAAGCTATGTGAATTTAGTGCAGTTTATCGATATTGTACATAACTGCAGTTCTAATTTATGAACTTATTGCCCTGACAGTACCTTTTGTGGAATCATGACAATGAAATTCATCGAGCATCTCAGTGTCGGCATTTCATTGGATAAAGTTGACCCTTCGAAGTTCAAATATTACCGACTCAAGCTTGCGATAGAGGGTTTAAGGGGGGAGGCATATATATGAGGTAAATGTCATAATGTCTGTGAATTGAGTTCAGTCTTCACTTATGACTTGGGAATTCACTGTGCTCCTTAATTATGTCAGGAAGTCCTTTATATGAAGATGCAAACATAGAAGCTTTGCTGGAGGTGCTTTAGATGGTAATCCAGCCATTTTGATAGAGCTATTTGGTTTATTTATTCTGTGTAGCAAGGTCAAATCATTTCTCGGGTCTTCAGGCCTGTTGTACATTATGAAGTGTAATATTGTACAGTCTACAAGCGGTGCTAATTGCCTTACATGGCACATAAATTGTTTCCATTTTGGGGTTTTGTTTTTGAGGTGGCGTCGTGCTTAGCATACTTATTCTTTACATTGTGAAGTTGAGCTATTTCGTACACCTCGATATATAAACATACTTGCTCTTTATGGAGGTATAACAGTTTACTTTTTTGAAACGACGTGTTCATTTCCACTGAATTATGTTGATTTTTATATCCATTTTTGACATGGAAACGACACATGGCACGACTGGTCTCCCGGGTAATTGACATGCTCATTTGGAGGGCGTACATCCGACATCTTTAAGTATCGATGGGGACAATTCACAGCTGCCGACTGCAAAAATACAAATAAAGGTACATTTAGTCTACAGTTTGACGTTATGAACACTTGTAAACAATATGGTTAGCTTTAGTGGAGAATGTTTGCCTTTCAGTAAGAATAATTACCTTTCCTGTTAAGAAGGTGCCTTTGCTGCAGTTATATATAGGAAGCTTCAGTTATATGTAGGAACTTGTCTGAAGTATATTGGGTATTTAGTTGGTGCATTAAATTGATGGGATTGCAACATCATGTAGGCAAACTAAATTCACCACATCATCTTGCTATGCAAAAGTAAATTAACTTAAAAGATCTATTTCTTCATATTGAAGAAGTGGTAGATAAGCAATTGAAGTAACAAGTGATGGACAATCGGTTGCGACTTACAACCACAATAGAGGGCATTAGGTATCTAGCAAATCAAGCATTGGCTTTTCGAGGCCACGATGAATCCTTTGGCTCATCTAACCTGGGCAATTTCATTGAAAACATGAAGTATTTTGCAAGAATAGATATGGAAGTTAAGAAAGTTGTCATAGATAAGGCTCCACAAAATATTTAGTATATTTCCAATGACATACAAAAAGAAATCTTGCATATTGTTGCTACCAAGGTGAGGAAGACAATTTGTAGAGAACTAGGGAAGAACAAATTTTGTATTCTTATTGATGAATCGGGTAAATAACAAATGGCTATTATTTTAAGATTTGTTGATTGTGATGAATTTATTCATGAGCACTCACTACTGCAAAAATGGAAAAAGACGACAGTAAAACAACGACAGAAGAAATAAATACCGTTGTTGTTTTTAGAAAGAACACGGTAATAGAAAACTGCCATGGATCAGTGACTTAAACACCTCAAAAATCGAGATCTATTGGGGTATTCTTAAAATACGATGCTTGAAACTTAAAAAGCATCGTCTTATGAAACATGTTATTTCTAGTTGTGTAAACACTTAATCCTAAATAACAACAATAGGTATAAAGCTACCGATGTAGATATTAAAGACAACATTTTACCTAGACTGCAGTCGTGCTAACTTGTACTTAACCACAATGGTAATTGTTGTCTTGACGACGTATGAAGTTTTCCTGTACAACTATGGTAATTATAAAATTACTGTCGTGTAAAGTTATAGTCAACCACGACATTAGTAGCATAGATAACGACGTCTAAATTTAAGCATATTCACGTCACTCTTTTACTATTTTACGACGTATTAAGTTAGTACATTTCATTGTTTTGAATAATATTAGTACGACAATATCTCTAACTCTCACTCACTCTCTCTCTCTCTGCATTTGCGTTTATCTGTGTAATCTTTGTTATAGGAAGCTTTTTGGTAGTAGTGGTAATGTGTTTATTTTTTCCACATTTTACTCTTAATAAGACGATAATGGTTTCTTATTTGCGTAGTTTGAATTATCACACCACGACGGTAATTAACTACTGCCGTGATAAAACTCTTAATATGATGGTAGTTCTTATCTAGCGACGTGTGAAATAAAATACTACGTCGGTGTTTTCAAATTACCTTCGTTTTTATTATTTGAAAATCTAAAATATTTTCACATGCAGGTTATATTTCTCTGTAACCATGGTTTGTAAAGCTCAAAGTAAGGAGACTAGTTTGGAAAAAAAAAAAAAAAAAAAAGAGAAGCTTCAAGTTTCAAAAGCTCAAATTAGGGAAGACAAATCGGCTCAAACCAAGTCCTCGAAGAAGATGAGATTTGCTTCATTTGCTGAGAAAGAACCAAATAGCACAACTCCATATGATGATGAGGCAAAGTCAAGTCGTGGTTTTAAACACAATGAGTCGTGTTGTGAAGAGAAAAATTCAAAAAATAAACATGTTGTTGAGTACAATAAAATAGGGAGACCACATGGCTAGGCAGCTATTGAGATGCAATCCTATATTGGGGTGTTAGTACGCACTAGAGTCCCTCTTGTAGACAAGAAATCAACTGAATTGCCCAAAGATACAAAGGAGCAGATTTGGAAAGCTGTTGAGATGACATATGTTGTAGGGCAAGGGGGCAAGAAGATGGTCTTATCATCTGCAACAAAGAAATGGAAGGATTTCAAGTCTACATTAACGAGCTAGTATATTCTTTTATTAAAAAATGATAAGGAGAAGTTAAAAGAACCCCCTTAACTATATTCATTCATAGAGAAATAGGATTGGGATACCTTTGTAGCTTCAAGGTCATTCGAAGAATTTGTGGTTGTGCATACTGAACAATCACACAAGAGGGAGAAATGCGAGTACAATCATTGGTTGTCTCGGAAAAGATATGTTGGTTTGGAGGACCAATTGGAGAAAGCATGCTCAAGGAAGAAATAGATCGATCTCTATTATGGAGGAAAGCTAGAGAAGACAAACATGGTAACATCCCCAATCCAAAGGCTGTAGAGAAAGCAAAATTAATTGTAAGCCTAAATTCACTCACTCTGTTTTAAATTTGTATTACAGAGCATTTTGATTTTGAATTAGATATTGTTGTTTTTCCTCAATGTCTTTAGAAATCTCACACAACGACGGTATTTATTTACAGACGCTAATGCCTTGACTCTTAAAAAAGAGATATGCAAAGTGCTTGGTAATAACGACATTCTAGTGGAAAACATGTGTGGTCAAGGGTATGATGGTTCTAGTAATATGCGTGGTTCATGAAATGAATTACAAGCATTATTTCTTCTAGATTGTCCATATGCATATTATGTGCATTGCTTTGCTCATCGCTTGCAATTAGCATTAAATGGCGTAGCTAAAGATATGAAAGTTGTATATGGAGATTTTTTTTTAAATTTTGACTAACATTGTGAATTTTGTTAGTGCTTCTGCTAAGCGTCGTAATGAGTTAAACTTAATTCGAAAAGTTGAACTCAAAGAGTTGTTGGATTCTAGGGAACTTGAGACACGTAAAAGACTTAATCAAGCTCGTACTTTGAAACGAGCTGGAGCAACTCGTTGGGGATCTCATTTTGCCTCTATTACAAGTTTGATGAGTCTATTTAAAGAGACTAAATTACTTCTTTTGGAAATCAATGATCATGGACCTAACCAATAGTTTTGTGGCGATGTAGAGAGTAACTATATTGCTATAAGGTCTTTTGAGTTTGTGTTTTCATTGGATTTGATGGAAAAAATTATGGGATTGACAATTTTCTTTGTCAAGCATTTCAGGCTAAAACTCAAAGACATTGTAAGTGCTTTAAATTTTGTTGAGAATATAAAAATACAACTTCAAGATATGAGGGAACACGGCTGGGATAATTTACTCATAAGTGTGGTATGATTTTGTGAACTACATTTTGTTGATGTTCCTTATAGGGATTCTTGCCAATAAAAATATTTTATTACAATAAGCATGCCTATTGTGTTGATGTATTTAATGATGTTATAGATTGCATGATGAAGGAGTTAAATGATAGATTTTCAAAGCAAACGGTTGAACTTCTTAATCTTGGCTCAGCATTGGATCCACATAATGCCTTAATGTCATTCAATATTGAGCATATATGTAAACTTGTTGAGAAATTCTACTTGGTGATTTCCTTCCTTAGGAGTTGGAAGCTTTGGAAGTAGAGCTCAAGTATTTTCGAAATGATATAAAATGCTTTCCATGCTTTAAGGAAATCACTGCTCTTCCTCAGTTATGTCAACAATTGATGGAAACAAATTTGGGGGAAAACTACTATTTGATTGATATGTTGATTCGGTTGGTGTTGACTCTTCTTGTTTCTACAACAATAATGGAACGAACTTTGTCATGTGTGAGAATTATTAAGAATTGACTTGAAGCACCACAGGTGATGAATTTCTTGCTGATTGTATGATCCTTCACATTAAAAGAGAGTTTGCTAATACTATCAACAATGCATCAATAATTGAGGAATTTAAGAGTTCCAAGCCTCGTAGGTTAAATTTTAGATTTAAATAGTGTTGTTTTGTATTGCATTGCATTACTTTTGATTTTGATTTTAGTTTTTGTATTTGTAGATATAGATGCATCTGAGGGTAAGGCTCATTATGCCCCCCTCACTAGGTGTATCTTTTTATGTTTATTAATGAAATTCACTTGTACCGTCGAGTTTAACATGTAAGTTTTGCCCGGTTGGCTTTCAAATCCTGGAACCGCTGGCCCCAACCACAATTTTTAAATTATCATAATTAGCAACACTTTGTCTGAAGGTTCTTGTGACTTGGGTGGGACTAGCAAAGAAAAAAAAAGGTTGATGATTGTTAATATATTATAAATAAAATATTATAGTAAGCTAGTAAGTGATATAGCATATAATATGAAGCTCACCTTCAAATAATTGTCTCATACTTCATCACTAATGGTGAACCTCTTTGCAATTGGGTCCCACCCAAATCCATAGTTGTTATGCATAAGAGTAGTCATTTTGTCATACTGTTTCTTATACCATCTTATTCAACTCACGAAATTGTTATATGTTTTAGGAGACATGTTTTTCTAATTAAGGCAAGGAAGTACTCTTTTGTCTATTGTTTGCTTACTTATTGACCCATTACTATCACGTCATCCTCAACTAATACCATCAACCAATAGCTCTAACAACAAATCGCTTTCTTCATTGGTCCAAAGTTCATAATTATCATAACTTTTGTCTTTTCCTTTGTCATTTCCTTATTGTGAATCCTTCATTTTACCACATCATACATGTAAGAAAAACTTCTTTTACTACTTATCATATATCACACATAATTCTCACAACTTTACATCAAACATGTAAACAAGTAAATGACAACAATGATAGAGCCAAATAAGCACATGAGAAAAGGCTATTAGGAAGAATTCATAATAACAAAAAATGAAAGTTCCAAATTTTAATGATGTGTAGTTATCTGGCTACTTGTGAGCAAATAAAGTATGCTTCAATCTTCTTTTAATGATACACCAATCTAAGCAAACAAAAGTAAAGATTAGACTTTTATTTAGTACGTAATAACCAGACTTATGGCCACAACGAAGCAATAATATAGTAGAAAGCATGAACAATAGAGGAAAAAAAAATTGTATAAGAGCATATATGAGAACAAGCGTGTGAAGAGATAATAACCATCAAGAAAAGCACAAAGAAAAGATGAGAAGCAGTAACCTTGTTTATTTTCTCAAGCGTCTATTCATCTTCTCGCAAAAAAAAAACCAACGTGAGAATCAGACATAAGAGGGTGAGATTTTTTATGAGGTTTGGTATTTATATCACCCACTCAAAAGTCTCACACAATACATCATTTAATGAAATATCTTAAAATCGGTAAGTTCTTGAATACCACATTACTTTTCTTATATTTTAAAAGTCCTAATTGAATACCACAAGACTTGAATTGATTATTTAAAAATCTTAATTGAATACCATCATACTTTTATTGATTACTTAAAAATCCTAATTGAATACCACCAGACTTTTAAGCTTCAAAACAATCTATTAAAATCCCAATTGAATACACCCCTCTTAGTAAATTTTGAGTTTTATTTGTTCAATACATTCATTGATAATGTACATTTACTCCAAAATTTTGTGTTTCAAAGCCTATATTTGTCATTTTGTGGATTTATTCTAGATACCTAAAACGATAACGATATATCCTCGAAATATCCGTAAATTGGAGGCTCGATATTATTTGCATGGACTATATTTTAATCCTTGATTTTTATATAGGCTAAATTAGTGAAATGCCCCCATAACTTGTCCCAAATTTTCGATTGACCCCATATCTTTTTTTTTGTGTAGAAAAATAAGGATATTAATTTTCTTTTTTCGCCAATGTACCCCCTGAAGTCAAAATCGACACTTTCGATTTAGTTTGATGTTAACTTCAGTCACGTGCTTGTCGTGTGCCTGTTAGGTTTTTTTTTCATCATTTCGCGTCCAACTCCACCCTACTTTTACATCAAAAAAGTCAGAGGCATTGAAAAAGGTAGGGTTTGAAAGTTTTGGGGACTTGAGGACTTGACGAATCTGGGTTCAATAGTCGCTCGATTTTGATTACATGGCATAATTTTTGTAAGAATATGGAGAAAATTGTTTCTAGAATCGAAGAAAGATGGTTGTTCTTCGAAGTAGTGGCCATGCTCCAAGCTATAGTAAATCCTGAGTTATCCAATTTTCTATTTCTTTAAGTCTTTGTGCTCTATAGTGTCGGTACACTAAGCTTATTCTATGTCTTTTCTCCTTTGTATGAGATTATTGTTTGAATAGAAAATGTGGGTGGTCCTAAGAGTAAAGCATGTGCTTTGTCTGTGTGTGCTGCAAAGTATGTACTTTATCTGTGTGTGTTGCAACCTTTGTGGACCATTGTCTGATGTGAGTAAAGGCTCGGGTAGATTGGTAGTTTTGTTTCAGTTTGGGGTTGTTGGGCTTAGTAAATGATCTTACTATGTGTATTTGTCGACTCATCTTTTATGTATTTTTTTTATTTTGGTGATCCAGATTTATGCACAATTGAAATTCACCAAGGAGGGCAATTTAAAAAGAGCAAGTATGTGGGAGGTAGTGTACATTGGGTAGACAACTGTATTGCAAACCACTTGTCTATGCTAGACATAGATGATCTAGCTACATCACTGGTATATGACCATCTTAAAGCCCAGTATCACTATAGGATTGAAACAAGGGGTTATGTTCTTATTAAATGAGATGGACGAGTGCTTGAGTTTTTGCGTGATACACCTCTATCCAGGGTTCAAGTTTTATTTATCACAGATCCCATATTGTTAGAGAGTCAAGCCTCTGCATCTATACTCGCAAATTCAGAACATTTTTACTCTCTAAATGAGTTTGTAGATGTTATTACTGGGTTTGAAAGTTTTAATCTAGCAGAGGAAGATGATGAAGAGGCTCATGTAGAAATCATTAATGGTGATGCCGATGATGAATATGAAGATGAGGTTGTTGAGGATGGTTTTGGGGATGAGGAAGATGAGGAAGAGGATGAAGATGCAGAAGAAGAGGCAGAAGAGAACTTTAAGTTTATAGATTTCGACTATGAGCAAACTAAAGAAGAAGTGGACAAAGGAGTGGATGAAGATAATAGTTGGTTTGATAGACATGTAGTGGATGAAAATGTTGAAGAAGCACATGTGAAACCAGGTGATGTTCCTAGTGATGAGTACAATTTAGCAAATCTTATAAGCCTTTCAGAAGAGGAACAAGATGAAGATGGAGTTGTGAGAAAGGTGAGGTGTAGAAGAAAAGCTCCTAGGTTCAAGCAGTTTAGAGATTTGATTAATCCAATGTTTGAGTTGGGCATAGAGTTTCCTTCTTTGGAACAATGTAGGGAGGCAATCAGGTATTATGTAGTTACAAGTGCTAGGCCACTAAAATGGGTTAGGAATGATCCACATAGGGTTAGGGTGACGTGTTCAGCTGGTGAAAATGTTGTACAGAAGGGTGAACAAGTTGGAAATGGAGGAAATGGTGAACAAATTAGAAATTGTGAAAATGGTGAAGATAGTGGAAATGGTGAAAATGATGAAGGACAAATAGTCAAGTGTGATTGGTTACTATATACTTCTCATGTGGGCAAATGGACTACTACAACGACTAAGACTTATCACCCTAAGCATGTAATAACCCGAACCTAAATTAATATTTAATTATTAATTTATTCAATTAAAAGACAATTTTACCCTAGAATATTTTAATGATTTAAAATTTAACTTTTTATTCGGGAAGGAATTTGGGGATTTCAGTTGTATTGTTGCGTAGAGCACATCGAGATGAGTCCGTAGACACATAGTGGGCTCAAATCCGAGTTGTAACGAGAGAGATACGATCAAAATTCAAGTAGGGGTAAAATTGTAATTTTTTGCAACTGGTTTTTAAAACCAGAATTTCTCTCTCTCTCTCTCTCTCTCTCTCTCTCTCTCTCTCTCTCTCCGCGAGTAGACTCCCTCCCCCTCATTTTTTCTCTCTAGCTGGTGGCCCCAAGAGCTACCACAGCCATCACTGGCCGCCACTTGGGGCGGCATCGGTCCCAAAAGGACCGCAACCTCTTCCTCTTCCAGCCCCAGTCCTTTGCTGCCATGAGCCGCCACGAATACCGCCAGAAAATCAAGAAAATTGGCCTGATTTTTAAGAAGCTGCTCGTTCTCCCACTTCCGACCACCATTTCTGTCAATCCAAGTATGTTTTCTCAACCTCTCGAGACATTCTAGCTGCTGGTTGTGTTGGATAGGAGAAATTTCTGCATTTAGGGGGGGTTAAATAAGCGATTGAAAATCTGCTGATTTTCGGCCTCCGATTCCGACCATTTATGTCGACTTTTTGGGGTAGGTCCAAGAACAAAAATTGCTCCACTCTATGTGGTGATCATGTAGGTATAAGTCTTGACCTGCGATTTGGAGACTTTTCGATCTCCGGAATCGCTTTGGACACCCAAGCGCTGCTAGCTCGTGTGGCGGCGCATGGGCCACTTTTTGGCCGGTCCTAGAGTCCTAAAATCATCCTCATGTTGTCCCGAGTACGAAGGTATGCTCGGATATGAATTTGGTTATTGTTTGAGCGTTGATTAGATATCGCATATTAGGCGTTATTCGGGTTCGATATGTTCGGACCTTTGGATCGATCCCAATTTGGAATAGGTTGATCTAGGCAACCCTAGGAGTATGTACGAATTTGCAGATCGTGAATCGGAGTCCCGGATGCTCCGATTCAATAATTCAAAGTTTAGGATAAATGATAACCGTCCGATCGGGCAATCGTGAGCGATCCGACCTTTCGATTCGGACCAAATTGGCATGACATGTCTATTAAACCTTGTTGAACCCATATGAACTTTTGGATCGGAAAGTGGAGATCGTGGGCCATGCGGGTCAGGTTGACCAAGATTGGGTAGTTCGACCCTCGGTTGACCACGAGTCTTCTTAGGTAGTTTCACCTTTCGAGAAGTATTAGAATGATCATGTAAACGAGCCTTGACTGTTATTGAATTATTTTGGGGTCTTTATGAAATTTATGCTTTCGTGAGTGGACTTTGTTTTGATAGTGCATTGTTTTTACCGATTGAATTATTATGCATTAAATAAGGATTGTTTGATTATGGATGGATTTTGAGTTTATTATAATATTTTATGGTTTTCCCAGATGTTATTTTTGATATTCGAAGATCATGCATTATTAGAAGTGATGGGATCTCTAGGAGTTATTGACTTATTTAGTTATTTATTTACCTATTATTATTATTAATATTGTGATTATTATAAAAGTATATGACTAAGTGTTGTGGGATGATTTAATGTTTATGAGTTACTATGTAATCGGATTTCGACGTGAATAATTAATTAATTAAATATCTAAGTACATGTTTATATTTAATATTTATACATATATATATATATATATATATATATACTCAATGGTTTAAAGATGATGAATCATGGATGTTGGTTTTTATCAGAATGTGGTGTATATTTTAAGTGTAATTGAGAATTAATTTATAGGAAGTTGATATAAAAGGTCGGAAAATGGATTGTGAAATAAGGGAAAATTTATGATGAATTTCATACTACAGTTTTCAAATGAATCATAGGAGTACCCCTTAGTTTCCTTGAAACAGTTTTGTTATTTTTTATAATGCCTCACGAGTTTCGGGGATGCCTGAACCATGTGGTGTGAGGATTGCGGCCCGGGTTGACTTGGTGTCTCCTAGGCCTGCAAGGAATGTGGCTCGGTTAACTTTGTGTTTCCGAGGCCTGCGAGGATGGAACTGATAGGACACTTGGAATTGACGGAATATTATTAGAAGTGACGGCATATTAAAGGAACTGACGGAATATAAATGGGGGTATGCCTTGGTGGAAGTGTATTTGGGTATAAGATGTTTAACTAATATTGATGATATTATCTTGGTATTTTATATAGTTCGCCATTATTTTCTTAAGCAATGAGTTTGTTGGTCTATCCTTGCAAGTGCACAAGATTGATGTAGTATAATGTTTGACAAGTCCAAGTATCGTTCCTACAAGGATTCCAAATTAATATAATATTCAAATACCTAAATTAAATCGAACTGATACGCAAGTAAATTTGTAGAGATTGTTGTTGTGAAAGTTTATGAAACGAACAAGAAATTAATCAAGGCAATTAAGAATTAAAAGTTGACTTTTAAAGATTGAGAAAGAAGGATGAAGGTCTAGGGTTTCGGAATCAACCACATGCAATCCAAGTTAGATTTCAATGCATTAAACAAATTCTTTCGATTCTTTAGATGATAATTCCCATATCTAAGTCCTTTTCAGGCACTCAGACCATAGTTTTTCTTAAGTGTAAGATTCTTTTCTAGTTCAGACAAAGATCATATACCCAATTCTGCAATCTATCCTAGTTAAGGCATAAATTTAACAAGTTGGATTCATTATGTTCTAGAAATTGAGAGAACCAAGCAAACCATTATTCTTCGTCAAGCAATAATGTAATTCACCACACTTAATCAGAAGAAGCTAATTGAATTATATTGCGAGTTCAGCCTCAAATTCATCTTCCAATTTACTAGATGCAAAGCCCTAAGGTGATCAATCAAAGAACTTAAACAAATAGAAACAATTAAAATAGTGATTAAACATTCATCTAAAAGAAACTTAGAATCCATTAAATAACATTAGAAATCATAACTAGCCATGCTCGGGCGTCATCCTCGCCCTAGAGAATAATTTAGTTACTCATGTTCAAAGAAAACATAATTGAAAAACTAGAAAACATAAAATAAAACTTATGGATTGTGATGATGCTCGAGAACTTGATGATGACAGCGGCTCTTTGACTCTCCTTCCAACTCCAGCATAAGAGAACCCTATTTTCTGGTCTTCTTTAAGTAAGGAACAAATGCTCTTTTGACTTGGTAACTATGCTTTCCTAGTTTGGCTTCAATTGTCTTTGATGAGTTGGCATCCAAAATCCTACTAGATATAGGATTAGACTTTAGAAAATAACTCCAAATCCTTGTAGAAACTTTCCAAATGCAATTGACATAAATTGGACTCCAAGGGTTGGACTTCAAAAGGATTATTTTACAAAACCCGCAAAACACATTCTGCCCGAACTGTCTGTACTAAAATGGCCACAACTCTCTCCACACACGTCCGAATCACGAACTGTAAAATTTTACAGAAAGCTAACATCCGTATCTTTCCAACAATATAAGGTTCAACATCTGGTTCTCTCTGAGGAAGTACACTATATTCTGTCAAGTTGACTATTCTGCACAGCACATTCTGCTCCTAGGATTGCACATCATGTTTCAATCCCAAAATTGCTCATTTTGCTTGCTTTTCCATCTTTACTCTTCAAACCTAGTAAAACACAAAACTAAGTAAAAATAGACTAAACTCACTCAAGAACATAGCAAGAATCTAAGAGACAGATAATAAAAATGTACAAAATAATGGTTATATAGGAAAATATATATATTCTAGTTAAGTTGTTGACATATAAATATATTTATATAATGAGCCTTATGTAAGTTTTGAAGGAAAGGATAAAAGTGTCTTCGGAGCTTGTTGGTTTTATTTTATTTTTATTTTAATTTTTCATTATTATTATATATATAATTTAAGCCAATAATATACAAATTGATTTATGAATTAGAGGAAGTTCAGTGAGTGGCCTACTTATGTTCAGAGTATGAACTGTTATGAGATTTGGGAAAGTTGAAAAGTATATACTTTAGAGCTTGTGAATAATGGTGAGCATATCACTAACATGAGAAGTAGAATTATTTTGCAATCACATCGAAACAACTACGTGTGGCTTGATCCCTTGTTAAGGGTGATCCAAAACTTCTAGTCAATAGAACTATGAATTCCTAGGTTATGGGAATAAGGGAACGAGAGGAATTTTAAGACAATTAGAGAAACAAAAGGAAGAAGCTAAGGAACTGCTTTGAGTTCTGCTTTCAGAATTGCTTGATTCATTTCAATGAATAACTTACGTATTTATACAAGGTTCGGTTGCTAAAATTAACTAAACTAAAATAGTAAATTATTTTAAGCCATAAAGAATGAATGGCCTAAAATCTTACTCATTTTGTAACCATTAACTTTTTATGGTTTATAACAATTCGTTATAAACCATTAGTTTTTACTGTTTCAAGTAATTTAATAATTATATTATATTATATTATATTATGTTTATTTTTGTTGGTAGATCCTCCTGGATCATGGCTCCCCCATTTAAGATGCTTGAGTTCCTAGTCAAGCTAAATTGAGATGAGGATATCTATTATTGCCTTGTCTCGAATATACCATTTCAACTTGCTAGGAAGTTGACCTTTTCTACCAATATGGAAATACTCATACTTTCCATGTCAAGTCTCACGAACCTTCTGTTCCAATATACAATCCTCCTGCAAAGGGTCTTCTCATTCAATCCGCTAGTCATCAATTGATGGAAGACGAGTGTCTTCGTCGGGATCATCATCAAGTAGAGATGGCTCAAAAAGCTTAAGATTCTCAGCATTGATGATCGAGTACATATGCATGTATGGTGGTAATTCAAGTTGAAATACATTATCACGAATTTGTTTGATGATCTTGAACGGTCCATAACGAATAGGCTTCAGTTTCTTGCCTTCACTGGTTAGCCGCTCCTTTCCAAGGTATAACCATACTAGGTCACCTTCTTTAAAGTTACATGGCACACGATGCTTATCATGACGAGCTTTATATCGTTGCTGAGAACGTTTCAGTTGTGCCTCTACTTCAGTATGAATCTTTCTAACTTGTTCGGGAAATTTTTGTGCTCGAATATGTTCTTCTTCTTCTTTCCCACTTAATGGCTGGTCACTCATAGTAAATGCTAAATCAAAAGGAATCTGGGGTAAATAAACCAAACAAACCTCAAATGGAGATTTGAGTGTGGAGCCATGAATTGCTCGATTAAAAGCAAACTGTAAGTAAGGGAGACTTTCATCCCAAGTCTTTGGATGCTTGGAATTGTGACCTCTCAACAAGTGTACCATAGTCCAGTTTACGACCTTTGTTTGCCCATCTGTCTGTGGATGAAATGCAGTACTTCTTTTCAATATGGTATCCATCATTCCCCATAACGACCTCTAGAAATGGCCTAAGAATCGACTATCTCTATCAGAAATAATCGATGTAGGTAAGCCAAAATGCTTCTGAACATGTTGGGAAAATAACTTAGCAGCTCATTCTCTAGTAAATGTCTTCTTACATGAAATGAGAATCACCATCTTACTGAAACGATCTACCACCACAAACAAGTAGTCATTTCCAGACTTGGTTATGGGTAATCCACCTAAGAAATCCATCGAAATACTTTCCTAAGGTCGGCTAGGTACTAGCAATGAAAGATGCAGTCCTAACTTTCTGTTGGAAGGCTTCGATGTGTTGCATAGAACACAACCTCGTATATATCGTGAAACATCGAGATGCATCTTTGGCCAATACACGTAGCGACAAAGATTCAACAAAGTTTTCTCAACTCCAAAATGCCCTGCTACTTTGGAAGTATGAGCCTCATGAATCCACTGTAATCTGTCGCCATCTTCTGGAATGCACAATTGTGTTCCCTTTTACATTAGTCCATCCTTCAATTGGAACTCACTTGTCTTTCCTTGTTATAGCTTGGCATCGGTTGAGTTGAAATTAGCATCTATGTCGTACCCTTTTACATTAGTCCATCCTTCAGAAGGAACAATGGGTTGGATTTTCATAGCCACCAGCAATGAGGAACTAGCTGGTGTAGGTGGTCTAGATAACATATCTGCCTACTTATTAGTTGCTCCCTTCTTGTACTTTATCACAATATTGAATTGTTGTAGGTAAGACATCTATTTCATATGGCGAGCTTGTTGTAACTTAGACTGTGTAAGCTCTCCAATGCTTCACTGCTTGATGCATTGCATACAACTCCTTGTCATAAGTCGGATAATTCAATATCGGTCCACTAAACATCTCAGAATGGTATGCAACTGGTTTTCCATCTTGAAATAATACGGCTCCCATAGCATAGTTCGATGCATCTGCTTCCACTTCAAATGGTCTCTGCAAATTCGATAATGCTAATATTGAGGCCTCTGTAATCTTTAGTTTCAACAACCGGAAAGATTCCTCATGGTTTCTCGACCATTCAAACTTTTGATTGGCATTTGTTAGAGAATGTAAGGGTGCTGCAATTTGTGAAAAGTGCCGAATAAAATTTCACAAATATTGACATGCACCTATAAAGCTCGGAACTTCAGTTATTGAACGGGGCGTAGGCCATTGAGCAATCACATGTACTTTCTCTAGGTCCATTTTTAGTTCTCATGCACCAACAATGAATCCCAAGTATACGAGGTGTTGTTTCCCAAATTCACACTTCTTACCGATTAACTATAACTGATTTGTTCGTAGAACCTCCAATACTTGAGCAATATGATGAAGATGGTCCTTCCATGTGACACTAAATATGAGAATGTCATCTAAGTATACAATGACGAAGTCGTCAATGAAAGGGCGGAGTACCTCATTCATCAATCGCATGAAAGTAGCTGGAGCATTGCATAATCCGAATGGCATGACTGACCACTCGAACAATCCCTGCTTTGTTTTGAATGCAGTCTTCCAAGTATCTTCTTCATGGATGCGGACTTGGTGATAGTCAGACTTGAGATCAAGCTTAGTGAAGTAGCGTGCACCATGTAGTTGATCTAGCAGGTCATCAATCCTTGGTAATGGATACCGATTCTTAATGGTTATTTTGTTGAGTGCCCTATAATCTACACACATATGCCAGCCTCCGTCTTTCTTAGGCACAAGTAACATTGACGAACCACATGGTGAGCAGCTAGGTTTGATGACTCATTGTTCAAGAGGTCCTTGAATTTGCTTCTTGATCTTGTTAGATTCCGTCATAAAAGTGTGATACAAACCCAAGTTTGGTAGAGGTGAATCTCCTACCAACTGGATATCATGCTCCTCAGCTCTCCTCGGTGGAAAACCATGCACATCCTGAAATAAGTCCTTAAACTTCTCATGCAATTTCCCTATGTTTGAGCATTGCGTAGGAGATAAAGACAAAGTAGACAATGTTACAGCTCTAGAACTCTAATCTTGCGGTCGAATCATCAACAAAACAAATCGCCCACATGAATTGACTAACCTCTTGGCTTGGTTAGCTATCAGTAAATTATCTGTAAGTAAATTATTTGTAGCTTGAGGCTTGCACATCCTTCACAAGTCGTTACTTGGGAAGCCTCTGATAGTGGATGGCATCTCGGTCCCATAAATATGGATTGCCTAATATGACTTGGCAAACGTCCAAAGGAACCACCTTACATGTCACCTCATCAATATATTGATTGGTGATAGCAAATTTGAAGGTACATTGCTTCGTGATTTGTAAGTCAACGTCTTTCTGAATCCATCCTAGCAGGTACGGCTTAGGATGTGGTGTGGAGTCTAAACCCATTTTTCTTACTAAAGCCTCTGAAATCAGGTTTTTCTAACTTCTAGGGTCAATGATAGCTTGTACAACACTTTACTTCACCTGAATATTCACATGGAACAACTCTTCACAGTTGTACGTGTCTTCAATATATGCTGGTCTTGTCATAAGGGTAAGTGTAACATCAGGTTGCTTCAATTCTGGAAGCTCTTCTGCCTGTTGTGCAGTTAAGGTGGCTTTTCTGTCATTTCTCCCCTGGTTGTTTTTCTCGCGCTTTGGCACAACTCAGGATGGAGTATCCAACATTTGTCTTTGGCATGTCTGTTGGTTTGACAGTGATCACAATAGACCTTCTGTGTTTGACCTTCCTTACTCTACTTCCCATTTTTCTGCCAGTCAGTTTTGTTGATAGGCTTTGATCTGTCATCCTTCTTGTCAGTTCTTTTATTTTTCGCCTCAATGGCGATGGCCTTCATAGTAGCTTCTTCAATAGTATCTACGGTGAACAATTTTAGTTCTTTCCATATGTAGTCAGCAAGACCTCCAATACACTTCATGAAAACATCGTAGTTGTTGACGTCGATGTCCAGAACCATAGCTTGGTTGTGGAACTTTGTTGTATACTCTTTTACGGGTGGCCCAAATCTATCTGAAATGTTGCCACTTATACCATCTTTCATCTTCATAGCCAACTGGATAAAATTGTTTTCTCAAAAGCATCTTGAAGTTCTTCCAAGTCAATTCTGAGACATCGTACCGTCTCTGATAGGACTTCCACCATGTAAGGGCATGGCTTGAAAGTTTCAAACTTGCAAATTTTATTTTTTGCACACTAGAATACTTATAAATTGTGAAATAAGTTTCTAGTGTGTCTATCCAGTTTTCTAGCTTTTCAGGATCAACATCTCCTTTATATATAGGGATGTCAACCTTAAAATCAATTTTTAAGGTATCAATTGAATTTTTGTTGTCACCTGATTCAACTTCCTTTTTTATTGGATTAGCTTGTGTGTCGTCTTCATTTTCGCTTTCCTCAACAACCTTTTTCTTGAGCTTTTGATCAAGCTCATATGAAGTTGATGGACGTGAAGGTTTTCCAGTCTTCAAACTCTCCATGAGTTTAAGGATTGATGCAGACTGGAGAAAACAAATAGGATACATCTAGTGATGGTGATCGCATCACTAAGTTTTCAACTTGTTGCTCAAGCTTAGTGATGCTATCACCATCACTAGATGTATCCTATTTGTTTTCTCCAGTCATAATGTCTCTCTTGGACCTTGGCTTTCGGTGTACGAGCAAAGGACCTAAAAGTTCTTCTCCAGAAGCTCTGCGTTGGTTGCGAGTTGAGACCATAAACCACCGTCACTCTCTCGGATCTGGTGCTCTGATACCACTTGATCCAAAACTTCTAGTCGATAGAACTATAAATTCCTAGTTTATAGGAATAAGGGAACGAGAGGAATTTTAAGACAATTAGAGAAACAAAAGGAAGAAGCTAAGAAACTGCTTTGAGTTCTGCTTTCAGAATTGCTTGATTCATTTCAATGAATAACTTACGTATTTATACAAGGTTCGGTTGCTAAAATTAACTAAACTAAAATAGTAAATTATTTTAAGCCATAAAGAATGAATGGCCTAAAATCTTACTCATTTTGAAACCATTAACTTTTTATGGTTTATAACAATTCGTTATAAACCATTAGTTTTTATGGTTTTAAGTAATTTAATAGTATAATATAATATAATATAATATAATTAATTATAATTTTATTATATTATGTTTATTTTTGTTGGTAGATCCTCCTAGATCAAAGGGTATGTAGGCAACCTAGAATTACTAGGTGCAGCCACGAGACCAAGCGATTGAAAAGCGGTTCAGTTAAGTTATATTGAAATATGTTAGCATATTCTTGTTGTTCCAAAAGTTGGGATTAGTTTCAGTTGGCAGAATGATTTATTCGATTTAAAAAGGCCTGAGGCCATAAAAATTTGAGATTTGGTTGTTGGATTGCTTGAATGTAAACTTGATGCATGCTGAACGGTTGGGATTACAATTGCATTTTGTACAGGTGGAAGAATTTTGGGAAACGACTACTTATAGGGAAGACTCTGCCGAATTTTTGGCAGAAGTCAAACTTGGGATTAACTTCGGTTTCGTTATAAGGGCAATTTAGTCAAATGTGCCCGGCACCCACTAGGTGTTGGACACGCACAGGGTTCGGCTCAGATTCCAAAGTGGAATTTGGGTCGAGTCCTGTCAAAGCATATATGTGGAAGGTTGCAAAAGACTAAGTTTGCCACTTCCACATGGCTTGCTGAAAGGTGGACAATCCTAGTATGAAGGTTGCAGATTTTATGAAGATTGTGAGAAAGAATTATGGCATAAATATAACTGAGAACCAATTTTACAAAGCCAAAAGCCTAGCCAGAGACATAATACCTGGAAGTGTGAAGAGCAGTACGCAAAACTATGGGATTACTGTGAGGAATTGAAGACCAATAATCCAATAAGCATTGTCCTAATCAAAACTGATTTGCGAATTGGTAACCTTGTATTCCAAAGGATCTATATCTGTTATGGTGCATTGAAGAAGGGCTTTATAGAAGGAAGCAGGCCAGTTGTGGGTTTTAATGGATGTTTTGTGAATGGAACTCATCCAGGACAAATTTTGAGTGCGGTTGGGATTGATGCAAATAATGGGATATACCCCCATTGCATTATTGTGGTTGAAGTATAGAATAAGGAGACTTGGAGTTGGTTTATGGATATTTTTTTTTGAGTTCGTGCATTCATGCTATAAGAGGTTTGCTTATGATAGAGGTTATGAAGGTTGTATATATCTCCAATGGCTAGTCAAGAACACTAGAGAAAAACTAGTCATGTACCAATCAAGCCACCTGTGTATCACAAACAACCAGGACGACCTAAAAGAAGCAGGCAAAAAGAAGTTGACGAGATATCAAAAAATGCAACAAAACTTAGGAGATATGGGATTGTCATTAATTGTAGTATATGTGGAGGTGAAGGGCACAATGCTGCAAGTTGTGCTAACAATGAATGAGGCACAAGACAGGTAACATTGCTTTTCCTTTGTCATTATGCTTTTCATTAGGCTTTTCCTTTTATGTGCAAATAATATTGTTGTTTTTGCTGAAGGCACAAGCTAGAGGCAGATGATGTAACACCTTGACCCGATTTAATCGTTTTATTCAATTTATTTCTATTTGTGGTATTATAATTTTGTCCTTAAGGGTAGGGGCACTTCAGTCACTTTTTATTTTGGAAGGATTTTAGGGAATTGAGTGGCACTGTTGCATAGAGCTCGCTCTCACGAGTTCGTAGACACGTAGTGGGTTCAATTCGGAGTTAAAAAGAAGAAGTTATAATCTATGGAAGTGTAGTGGCACAACCGTAAATTTTTCAAACTCAGATTTTAAAAATCTGGGCAGCTTCTCTCTCTCTCTCTCTCTCTCTCTCTCTCTCTCTCGCGAAAACAAACTGGCCACTTTGGTTGGTGTTTCTTCCTTTGTCCAGCCACGGCCGGCGACGCCACGACCCGCAAAACGTTCATCACTTCCTCCTCTATATGTCCATACCCATTTCCACCTTTGAAACTCCAAGTTTGGTCGCAATTTTGGACTGAAACCGAGCCAAAATCCCTTGTTCGTTGCCGAAACTGTTCGTGCAATTTACGGGGATTTCGGAAACCAAAATCGTCGAACTAGGTATGAAACTTCATCTACTCTTTGTGCTCTACCTATTTATGTGCTTGGTTTTGGTTAATTTTGGGGTTTCAGAGATCGATTTCTAACTCCTAATTATGCCGATAGTTTCGGCTTTGTTTCGGCTTGTTCTGGTTAGTTTTTGGTTGTGGTCCAAGAACAAAAGTTGATCCCCTAGGTAGTCTGATTCTAATGGTATGGGTATTGACTGGCGATTTGAAGTTTTCCGGTAGCCAGAATTTTCTCAAGACACCCACGCACTGCTTGTGACGGGTGGCGGTGCATGACCCACTGGGTGTCACCCATTATGTTCTAAAACACTCCCCACGTCGTCTCGAGCACAATGGTATGCTCGGATTTGGAATTGGTTGTCGTTTGACTATCGAACGGATATTGTCCCTATTATGCGATATCCGAGTTCGATAGGTTCAGACTGTTCGATCAGTCCCAATTTCAATTATGTTGTTCTTTGTACCTCTAGTATCGTGTAGGACTCAAGGATCGAGAATCGGAGTCTCGGTTACTCCAAATCAATGAGTTTAGAGTTAAGTGAAGCGATAGCCTTTCGATTGTGGGCCCTGCGGGCCCGTTAAACCATTATGGGAAGTTTGACCACCTGGTTGACCGTGAGTCTTCCGAGGTCGTTCCACCTTTCAAAATGCGTTAGTTTGGCCTTAGAAACTCTCCAGTAGTCGTGCACACTTACTTTGAGACCTGGGAACTATCGTTTTGAGTTAAAGTTCATTGTTGGGTACGCTTATTAATTAAGCCTGTTTATTATCTCAAATACCTACTCTTGCATCGCGTATTCCAGAGGAAGAGCTTTCTCAAGATTGAGCAGTGTGGACCTGTTGCGAGTGGACATTTGTTTTTAAATGTACTTCGTTTTTCAAATATGGAATTGTTTGCATAAATGTGATTTGATTGAAAATTGATTTAATTTGGGTTAATGAGGATATGAGATTTTGGATTTGGGTTTCAAACTATGGTGATTTTGGATTGGGTGATATTGGGTTTGTTCATGAAAGTACATTATGGAATATAGTATTTTATGGAAATTGCATGTGGAAACAGGTTTTGTTCATTATTTGATTTATTTTGGGTCTTGATGGGATTATGAGATTTTGTTATGGAATTTATGATATTGAGAGTTTGATATCTATATACATATAAATGTTTTGGTATTGAGTTATGGACACTATTATTGCCCGGATGTCTATGTATATGGGATTGGGTACATTGGAATATTGAGAATTTGGGAAATTGGTTTCGGTTGTGAGTTTTTGGGGAATTGAATTAAGGGAGGGTATATTATATATATATATATATATGGGTTTATGAGAGTGTAACTTCCCAATCCAATTTTTAACCATTTATATAACCCATATAAATAAATTTATTTCTTTATTTTCGAAAATTCAATTTTGCCCTTGAGATAGGGTTATTTTGGTCACTTTTTAATCCGGTAGGATTTTGGGAAAATGAATGACACTATTACATAGAGCGCGTCGATACGAGTTCGTAGACACGTAGTGGGCTCAAATCGGAGTTGTAACGAGGAAGTTACGATCAACGGAAGTACAGTGGCTGAATCGTAAATATTTCAAAGTTTTTTTTTAAAACTCAGATTTCTCTCTCTCTCTCTCTCTCTCTCTCTCTCTCTCTCTCCCTCACGACCTCATCTCTCTCTCACAATAGACCCCCCTCCCTAACCACCTCATCTGACCACCATTTTTGATGGGGCTGGTACCAAAACAACCAGCGCAGCATCCTCTTCCCTCCACACCCCTCTACCACCACAGCCAGACGCCTGAAAAACACGAAAACAGGCTAGAATTTCGTCAAACTTTACATTGTTGTTTCTAACAATTCTGGCCACTATTTTTGTCGATCCATGTATGCTTTCTTATCCTCTCAACATGATCTAGTTGATGGTTGGTTTGGTTAGGATTGATTTTGAAGTTTTGAAACTCGTTTTACGATCCAAAGTTTTGTCCGGTTTTTGGCTTGAATTTCTAGTAAGTTCCAACCATTTTTGGCAGTGGCCCAAGAACAAAAGTTGCTCCACTCGTTGTCCTGATCATGTAGGTATAGGTATCGTTGGGTGTTTCGAGAATTTTCCGTTCACTGGAATTTTCTCAAGCCACCCACGCACTGCCGACGCATGTGCCGGCACTTGGGCCATGGTTGGGAGGTCCATTTGGCTCTAAAATGTTACTCATGTAATCCATTTGGTTGGGAGGACCATGGTTGGGATGGTATACTCGGATTTAAATTTGGTTATCGTTTGACAGTCAATTGGATTTACGCATATTAGGCGTTATCCGGGTTCGATATGTTCGGATAGTTGGATCAACTCCATTTCCAAATATGTTGATCTAGGTACCTCTAGGATTGTGTAGGAATTTGTGGATCGAGAATCGGAGTCCCGGATGTTCTAATTCAATGACTCAAAGGTTACATAAAACGGTGACCGTCTGATCATGAAATCCCGAGCGATCCGACCACTCGATCTGGACCAAACTTACAGGACGTGCTTAATAAACTTTGTTGAACTAGTAGGAACTTTCGAATCAGAAATCGAAGGTCATGGGCCCCGTGAGCCCAGTTGACCAAATTTGGGAAGTTTGACCACTCGGTTGACGTAGCGTCTCCCGAGGTTATTCCATCATTCGAAACATGTACTTGGACCTTAGGAACCTCCCGTTCGTAGTTCACACACTTTGAATTCCGGGAAGACTAGGAATTTAATTTAAAGTTCTTGTTCGAAGTATTTTATTTTAATCTAGCCCTCGTATTTTGAAATAGGTACTCAAGCTCCTCATACTTAGCAAACATGACCCTATCAGGGTCACGCAGCGTTAGAGTTCTTGTGAGTGGGCTTTGTTTTGAAATAGCATTATTTTCAATGACAAAATTACCATGCATTTAAAATGGATTATTTTGATTTTGGAGTGTATATATATATATATATATATATATATATGTCGTTTCATTATGGAAAGTTCGGCTATTTTGATATTTGAGGTTCATAATTATTTTGAATATGGACTATATGTTTTGAGAAATTGTTATTCACTCTATGATTAAATACAAATTTATAAATAAACCCAATCCTAGACATGTATTTATAAAAAAACCCAAGCACTATTTAAACATAGAAACACACCCAAAATCAACCCCAAAGTCAACTTTTTGGGTGTGTTTATAAATGGGTTTTGAGTGTGTGTAATGATGAGTTTTGGGTGTGTTTATAAAGTGTTTTGGGTGTTGGGTTTTTTTATAATTTCAACCTCCATTTTGGGTGTTTTAGTGAAACTCCCATGATTAAATAACTAGGCAAGGGATTAATTGAGTTGGGGTACTTCGTTGATTGTTATGTGAAAATGTCATTGCACCATGCTAAGTACCCTCCCCTGGTTATTGTATTCACACGTGGCGTTGGTTTATCCGACATGTGGGCTCATTTGTTTGTGTTAGTACTTTATCACACGTGGCGTTGGATTATCCGGTGTGCGATAAAGCAGTCTGCACGCGTATGACTTAGTTGGTTTAGTTTGACCACATGTCGCATTGGAATTTTCCGACGTGTGTGCTGTAGAGTGGTAGTCCCCCTGTTGGACAGCTCATCCCTAAATGCAGGGTAGAAAGTTGAAACCTTGCGGCTAGTCAAACAATCCCCGTGTTGGATTGTTTCCCCTAGTACTCGTGTTGTTATGAAACTATCTTATACATATATATCCCAAATTCCATAAGTATAGTATAATATATATATATATATATATATACACGTTGACTATTTTAAAACCATTCTTAAATATTCCGTTTTATAAGTCTATGTTTCGGGAACGGGTTGGGTTGAAGTCAAAAGTGACTTGGATACTATCCTATTATATCGGGGATGTGAGAGTACTTCGAATTCACATTGATTACGTATGAGTAGATCCAATTGTATGTTTTTAGCATCGTTTTCCAAACGGTGGGGGTAGTATGTTGTTTTCAATTATAACCAAACTTTGTTTTTATCCACTCACACGTTTTCTATTCTGCGCCTCCCAGGCAATAGATAGGCTTGAATCGAGCGGCAGAGCCGAGACCTCCGAATTTTCGAGCCCCGACTTTATGTAGGACAATCTTTATCTATTCTATTTACATTGAACTCCGTTTCGTTTGTAAACTAAATTTTCTTGAGATATGCTCTGTTATCGCCCATGTTAGGGTTGAATGTAAGACCGGAGGCCTACTATGTAATTGTGTGCTAATGTATTGTGCATGTTGTTGTTGGGGATATTTAAATGTGTTTGACAGGTTTGAAATTTTTTGGGAAAGTCTATTTTTCAGGGGAAACTCTCTTGAAATTTCGGCAGAAAGTCTTGACCCTCTTTTTCTTGATTTGGAGAAGAGGATTGGGTTAATAAGTGGGCCCGGCATCAGATTGATGTCGGAAATATCACAGGATCCATCACGAATTTCGAGGAATTCGGGACGGGTCCTGTCAGAGAGTGGATTTCAGATTTTGGCTATGGGTTACACGTCATTATATGTACCTTCCCTTGGTTACTAGTTACTTTACCTACACATGGCATTGGATTTTCTGGCGTGTGGTAAAGAATCCGAACACATTTGATTAGGGGTGGGCACTCAAACTGGCGAACCGGAAATTCAAGCCGAACCGCACCGGACCAAACCGGAAAAAAACTGAGTTGACCAAAAAGTCAACAACCGGTCAAAAATCTAACCGGATCGGTTTGGATCGGTTTTGGATCCAGTTCCATGTCTTCAAAAACCAAATCGGGCCGAACCGAACCAGTCAAATTAAAAATATATATAATTTCAATATATATTTATATTTAATGCTATATTTGTAATTTAACAAAAAAATAAAAACTAATATTTATCCAAGTTCAATTTCAAAATATTTCTCTTTTCTAACTTTAATATTTCTTTTTATATGAAATTGAATAATTTGTTAATTTTCAAGTAAAAATAATAATATTTCAGTTAAGAATTGTATTAAAAAAATAATTTTTATAATCCGGTTCAAAATCGAATCGGACCGAAACCGGTTCAACTCGAACTAAACAGTTTTTGAAATTTTTTTATTAAAACCGAACCAAACTAAATCGGATGAATAGTACCAGATCGGTTCTAATTTGAGGCAAAAACCGGTCCAACCCGAACCGTGCCCACCCCTACATTTGATATTGGTTACTTTATCCCACACGTGGCGTTTGATTTTTCGGCATGTGGTAAAGATCTGGGCACCTTTGGTCGGGTGTGCCGTAGGCCTTGAAGGGAAAACTGCGTGCGTAGGACATGATTTGGTTTGGCTACACGTGGCGTTGGATTTTCCGGCTTGTGTACTGTAGAGTGGTAGTCCCTTGGTTGGACAGCTCATCCCTAGACGCAGGATAGAAAGTTAAAACCCTGCGGGAGAGTCAAACGATCCCCGTGTTAGATTGTTTCCCTGATACTAGTATTGGTGTGGTGGGTATACCTATATATATGTATGTATGAACTTCATTCTTATTTATTTGTGAGGATCCTTCCTCTTTATTTGTGCTTACTGTCATGAGTCTTGGAAAAGAGCGGTCTAGAAAAATGAAAAGGGTCCAATTTAAGTTTGTGTTATATGCTATATTATGGGATCATAGGATACCTTGGTTTTAAAGAATGGATTGTCAAGCATATGAATTTGGTTATATATATAAATATGTATTTGGGTATTTGTGTGGGTATATTTGTAGACTTGTTTCCAGGTTGCGTAATCTAAGCATGTGCATTGAGACTGCTCTGCACAGGTATGGATATTTGAATGAGGTTTGGATTTGAGATTTTCTATTTGGAAATTATTAGCTTAATATATTTTGTGTTAATGAGATATTTTGGTGGGTTTAAATTTACGGTTTTACAATAAGGATTAAATAAACAAGTTTACAGTCTTCCAAGAAAGTGGAGTTGTATTAATTATATGGTTTTCCTTATCGTATGTTATGACATGAACTTACTGAAGTAAACTATTTTCAAGTATCGGATGGTAAATATTTACATATATAAAATAACTTTGTTACATAGTGTTTTGACAGTATTTAATAAAACAGAGGGGGTTATTTATGTTGAATATAAATTATGTTTAATGTTTGTGTTTTTCGTCCACTCACATTTTCTGTTTGGCACTCCCTAGGTCCTAGATTCCGAGGTTGAGACCACCACGTCGAGGCATCTCAGCTGTCTACTGTGTAGGAACTTTCCTTCACTTTTCTCTACCTTTATTCTTTCCCAGGTTGTAAACTTAAATATTTAGTTGCTTTTATGCTTGTTGAGTTTGGGTAGAGGGCATGAGGCCCATTTCATTAATCTTAAATGTTGTGTGACTCTGCCGAAATATCGGTAGAAGTCGATTTGTTTATCAGTTTAAATTAGGGGTACAAGGCTTTTTAGTAAAGCGGGTCCGGCATCAGGCAGATGTCGAACGAGATGCACGGTTCGTCACGGATTCTGAGGGGGAATCCAGGTCGGGTCTTGTCAGAGGAAGAGCAAAAGGAACAACTAGAAGAGTAAGAAGGGGCAAAGGAGAAGTACACCAAGATCAACCTCATAGTTCAAGCCAGGCTACTATTGAAACGAGGCCAAAGATTGGGGTAAGAAATTTATCAAATTACACCATCCAAATTTGGTTAAAGCAAATATTAACTGATTTGGTTTATGGATGATAAATTAGGTGAGAAGAGGAGGCAATGTGTCTCAACAGACAAGGAACCTTGCTCAGACTGCTTTTAATTCTGAACCTAACTCAGCCAATGTGCCTAACTCATCCAATGCAACTAACTTAGGTTTTCAATTTCAACAAGCTTCTCAAAATGCCTCAGTCATAACCTCTAAAAGAAGGATTAGATACAAGTCTATAGCAAAATGAGCAAGGCCATGGATTAGATAAACTTGTTGTTTTGGTTTGACAAGGAACTTGTTGTTTTGATTAGGTGGAAGTTTGAACCTATATTGTGTCTTTTGAATAGGTGGAACTTTTGGAATCTCATTTGTAATCAAGTCTAGACATCATGGGGATGTTAATCATTTTGGAACTACTTGTTTTGATTAGGTGGAAGTTTGAAAATATGTCGTGTCTTTTGAATATGTGGAACATTTCATATCTGGTTTGATAGGTGGAGAGTTTGTTTGGGTTGTTCATTTGTATTTTAATGGATATGGTTAATTGGGAATGTATTTCGATTAGGCTTGGGCTCGGTCCTGGTTGGTTCGATTTTTGGTCCAACTCAGACACCAAATCGAAGGCCTAGAGTTGGCTATTTAGGAACCGTACACCAAACCATAACCGGAGTTAATGGGTTGGTTTGGTTCGGTTTCGATTTAGGCCGAAGAATAAGAAGCAAGGGAGAGATGGAGATAAGAGAAGAAGAAAAAAGAACATGACAGAGAGAGAAAGATGGAAAGAAAAAGAGAGGAAGAGATGAAGAAGAAGAAGGGGAAAAAAAGATAGAGATGGAGAGAGGAAGAAGAAGAAAGACAGAGGGAAAGACTGAAGATAGAAGGAAAGAAAGTAAGAAGAATAAAGCATAAATAAAGAGATGAGACATGTTGCAAAGAGAAAAGAAAAGAAGAAGAAATTAATAAGAAAATAAGAATATGGGTGGGAACCAGCGAAGGGACCTCGTTATCAACAACAAAAATATGCTTTCTTAGGCAGTGCACATCAAATATCATGAAGTCATTAAATATCATAAAGGGAGGAAGAAGAAAGAAGGAAGGGAGTAGAGAGAAGAAGAAGCGGCGCACTCTCATTAAAATCCTAGTAATTTTATATTATTTTTCAATTCCAATAAAAGCCATTAAATACCATTATTACTCAATAGAAACACAAAAGTAATTAGTACCACATCGGAATGCCCACTCTTTCCTTAATGTAGCGAAGGGTTCGAAACTCTCCATGGTGCAATATTTTTGCAGTATTTGACCATTATGATGTGGTGGGTTCGGTTCGGGTAAATCGGTCAAACCCAAAACTTTAAACCGTAAATCAGACCGAACCAACTGGTTTGGTTTGGGTTGAAACCAAAATTAAATAAAATAATTTAAAAAATCAGACCAAACTAACCCAATCGGTTTGGTTAGGTCGATTTTTAGGTTCTTGGTTTGATTGCCCACCCCTAATTTCAATGGTCTTGCTTATGATAAAGGCTTGATCGCTATTTGAAAATGTTTGATTGCCTTCTTAGACTATCAATGTAGTATATCAATTGCTTCGTTTTTTCCAATTGCAAACAAATATGTCAAACATTTTTACCTTCCATCTACATTTTTACATTCCAACTGCAAGTTCTACATTTCAAACACAGCTATTACAAAACTCCCATTTCAAGGTTTTACATTTCCACTCACTTCCTTTCCACACCATATTACAAAGGCAACTGCAAATACACATTACTGCCTTTGTGTTTGGCACACATCAACCGCAATACAATCGCAAAAAGTACAACACATCCAAAACCAAGTTTTCCCCCCTTTGATTTAGTAGGCTTTTTTTCTTCTTCCAATCTATTTATTTCCCTTAGCAGTCATAACCAATTTTAGGGTACAATTTTCCTAATTAGAGCAAACAAATCAAAACCCCAAATTTCAAATACAAACTTACCTTCTCACAAACATAGAACCTCCTCCGTGGATGTGCAGCAGTCCAAGATGTCTACATTTTCGCAGTCTTCCCACAGTCGTAGACCTTTGAAGGCAACATCCTGGAACTGCCCTCCTCAATGTGTGCATTCCACCTTTGTGAACCATGTCATCCCGCAAGTAAGTTCCTCATCATCTTCTCTAATTGGGTTTTCAAAATACAGTCTACCCCTTTTATTAAAGGGTTTAGGGTTTGACAATGCTGCTCAGATGATGGAGGGAGAAGATAGCGGAAAAAAAAATCTGCGAAAATGGAGCCAAAAATCGTGGGAATCTAGATTGGGTGGAGTTGGACGCAAAATGATGAAAGGACCCTCATAAAGTAGGTATGCGACTAAAGTTGACGGCAAACTCAATAGAAAGTGTTAAATTTTGACATCGGGGGGTACATTGGCGAAAAAAGAAAATTAATATCCTTAATTTTCTATAACAAAAATGATAGGGGTCAATCGAAAATTAGGGACAAGTTCAGGGGGCATTTCACCAGTTTAGCCTTTTATATATTATTTCGAGCTTCTTCACCGAGTGGCTCTACGTCGGACTTCTGCTTTTTTTCCTTGAGTTACTTGGCAACTTGCCATGTTGGAGATACTCAATTATGGGATGGTGTCAATCTAGATCATCTTGCTATTCTTTACCTTCAGAAGCCGTAATGACATTCGAGTCAACAAATTCTTCGATTCTCTCTATAGCTGGGGGTAGTAAATGATGTTCCATAACAGTGACTTGAATATCCTTTTCGTTAGGTAGTGTTAACGATGCAGCCAAATTAGTTAGTGCATCAACCTTATCATTTTTTGACCTCAGCTTGTGACTGACATGAATGTCTTGGAATTGAGACATGGGATATTTTGTTCTTTCGTGGTATGTAATGAGAGTAGCATTTCTGAATGCGTATTGGTCATTCAACTATCTGACAATGAACTATGAATCATCTTATACTTGCGAACAGTCAATATGCATCTCAAGATCAATTTTAAGGCCAATGATGAATGCGTTATATTCTACCACATTATTTGAGCACAAAGCTAGTAGAGAGTGAGTATGGGATTAAGCCCTCAGATGGTGTGATGAACACCAAACTGCCCTTGCTCCTTTTCTTCTTGCTACCTCGCCAAAATAAAACTGCCATGTAAGGGCCTCTGTCGTGAATACCTCTTCGTTAGGTAAATCTTCGAGTAACTCCATGTTGTCTGGAGTAGGATGAGCGGCCAAGAAATCAACAAGAGCTTGCCCTTTATCTTCTTTTGAGGCATAAATTTAATCTCAAACTCAGAGAGAAGGAGTGACCACTCTATTCGCCCTGAGAGCACAAGCTTTGACATTAGATATTAGAGTAGATCTGCCTTGGAGATCAAAATAACTATATGAGCGAAGATGTAGTGTTGTAGTTTCTGGACAACAAACACTAATGCGAGGCAGACCTTTACGATGCGGGTGTAATTTTGTTTTGCCCTCATGAGTGTTCTACTCAAGCAATAGAGTTCATTTTATTTTCCACCTTCATTGTGCTGGGTGAGCAATGCCCCCAGCGAGCGTTCTCTACTTTTTCCCAACTTTCCACAATATTTTTTTGTAGTCTTTAATTTGAAGTGTTGTTGTCTTTAATTTTTAAGTTGTTGTAACCTTTAAATTTTCAATTAAAATTTTATGAAAATGCAGAGTAGTGGAATATTGTCTCTAAATAGTAGTTTAATTAATTTAAAAATAATAAAATATGAAGGGCCCTAAAATATAGTATTGCATGGCTGGAGATAGAAAAATTTAGCCCCACATTATTCTTTAAAAAATTAATATTTTGGAGGGCTAAATTTAGCCCTCATGATTGGGAAAAAAACTTACTCTTGTAACGGGGATAATGCTATTTTGCTATCCCCAGCTAATAACATAATGACACATGAAAAAATTATCTCACGTGTCATTGTATTATTGGTCGGGGATAACAAAAGTGATATCCCCATTGCATGAGTGGAGATGGCCTGAAAGCATCTTGAAGTTGTTGTAGAAAAATTAGTACTCCAAAGCTCAGCACAAGGGCAAGCAACAACTTTCAAAAAAATTGTTGGATGATCGCGCATATGTCAAAAGATACAATGATTTATGGACTCCCAAGTACGCCAACAACAAAACTAAAATTTTGTTCAAAATTCTGGCCAACTAGCCTAACCCTCTGCTTACATCTTTAAATAAAAAAAAAAAAAAAAAAAAAAAAAAAAAAAAAAAAAAAAATAGAAATCTAACGTCTACGTCATTTTGTCATTGTCCCATTTCAAATCACTGTGTAACCTTTTATTACGGTTGTGGGGTGGGGGGTTTACTCAAAATATTCATTAGGTGCATGACGGGTTTCCAACCGAGCAGCTTTGGTCTCAATTCATATTTAGCCGCGAGCATACTCCCACTGACCACACTGCCTGTTACTTCGATAGATAGGACTTGGATTTAAAAGTGAGAGAGAGAGAGAGAGAGAGTGAGAGAGAGAGAGAGAGAGAGGTTTCTATTCTATACTATAACCTCAGTTTCCACGATTTTTGATTTTGGAGAGCATAAAAACAGGGTTTATGGTTTCCTTCCTAAACAATTGAATTCATCTCCAAAGATGGGTTCGTTGGCTGCTTGTTCTCTTCAAGCGAATACAGAATTCCCCCATACCAAAATTCTGCCCCATACTCTCTGCTGCAAGTCTATCAAACCCTCATTCCTCAATTCTCACTATATTCAAAAGCCGCTTACACTTCCATTCAAATTCCTCTCCTCCAGAAGTTCCTCGAACTCGAACCTCCGCAGACTCTCCTCTCACTCAACCTCTCTCACCTTACCCTTCTCTAAACTTTCACATAGTTACTCTGCTTTCCAACCCAATAAAAATTTATCAAGATTTTTGATAGAAAAAATACTGGGTTTTGTTATAGGGTCAGTTTTCTTTGTTGGATGCTTCAATGTAAGAGCAGCTGTAGCACTGCCTGCTCAAACAAGCAGTTCCAGTGCAAACTTTGAGGAGAAGAGAGAGACCCAGAAAGGGAAAAGTGAGGATGAGGAAATGTATGAGAAGATTTTGGAGGAGGACCCAACAAATGTTGGGGCTTTGAAGGTGGTTTTGTATGGGGCAATGAGGAGAGGGAACACAAAACAGGCTGTGAATTATGTGGAGAAGTTGATTGATGTGGAGCCAGATGAGGTCGAGTGGAGGCTTTTGATGGCGCTTTGTTATGAGATCATGGGGCAACTGAGTACTGCTAAAAGATTGTTTCAGGAAATCTTGGAGGAGAGGCCTCTTTTGCTCAGAGCTTTGCATGTATGCTTCTGGGGCTTGTTCCCTTTTGAAGATTTATTATTGTTACAATCTTTGCTACTATATGCTGTTTCATACGTTTGTGTGTGGTGGTGTGATACTTATATTGTGAGTATAATGAATGAGGTTGGGTAATAGATTGTATATACTGACATAGCCATTAGAAATCAAAACTGATTGTGGATTATCAAGCTTTGAATTTGCTGATTGGGGGTTTTTATATTTGGTTTCTCCGCAGCATATACCCTATTACAAAGTCTGTCTTTTGGTGATAAAAATTGCATGTAAATTATATTCTATCGGTAGTTCCTAATATTTTGTTTTTAATTTGAATTTAAGTATTAGCTAGAAAACAACTCTTATGATTGCATTTGACACACTTTCTTCTCTGCCTGTTTCTTGTTAAGTTTATATTCTCGTTCTGTTTCATCACAGATTCACAGTTTTGGTTCAAAGTAAAGCATTGTACTTGGTGAGAATTGAGTATGCCATGCATATATATATATATATATATTTTTTTTTTTTTGTGAGAGGGTCTCAAGTCCCTTGATTTTCTAATGGCAGCAGTGTTATTTAGAACAGATATATGTAGGTCGGTAATCAATTGTGCGCAAGGAAATCAACAAATGCTCAAAATGTTAGGTTCGGTTGACAATTCATGTGCTTCTTTATATCTAATATGGTATCTAGCTGGATGGATCCAACTTCGACTGCATTACATGGGTGATATAATCAATCACGGTCACTTGTAGGCAGTAAATAATGCATTGTTATATGTCTATTGACACCTTATGCATCTTTGCTTGAGAAACTTAAACCTTACAGATCTCTTCTTTTCTCAGGGTCTGGCATTGGTTATGCACAAAAATCATGAAGGTCCAGCTGTTTTTGTGATGCTTAATAAGGCTTTAGATATTGCACAGCGGGAAAAAAGAGTCATTGAGGAGAGGAATATAAGAATTCTGATTGCACAGATGCATGTTGTGAAGGTAACAATCAGTCCAACCTCTCATTTTCTAAAATCAGGAACTGGTATCTATAAAAATATCACTCTTTAAAGTTCTTAAAGTGTATTCAAGAGCAGAAACTTTTTGTTCAAATTGAATTCCTTGTATATAGAAAATGAATCTTAATCTGTTGCCACCTAAGGTCAATGAGAATGAGAACAACTATGGTCTTTTCATGTGTGACAGTATATTTATATATATTTATGCCTTCTAGGGAGAATTGGAAGAAGGCTTGAATAAATTTCAAGATTTGGTCAAAGCGGATCCTCGAGATTTTCGACCTTATCTATGCCAGGTTAGTTTGCTCATGTTATTTTACTTGCTGCTGCTGGTTTTTCTTTGGCTTTGCTTAGAAGAATATATGACTGACATCCTAACAGCTTTCGGTCCCAATTAAATAAAGTAAAATCTTAACTTTAGCTTTTAATGACAATGGGAAATCAAAAGAATTTGCCATGGTATCAAAAGACCCTAAGTTCATATCCCTGCAACTGCAACCTCCCAATTTATGTTGAATTTTACGTGTTGGGCTCTATATAGTGGTAGAGAGAGTCGGACATGTGAGGAAAAATATTACTATGAAACAGTAGTTGACCCCACAACCTATGACTCGAACTTTTAGTAATAGTAGTAAATCGAAAAAACAAATTATTTCTAATATGAAATCTTCTCTATCTTTGTGACTGATAGCTTTTGTGCTTCATCCACTTATAATTTTCATGTTTTTTACTTTAGCTGAAACAGTCTGCTACCTAGGTGAAATGGAGCACCTTATATTTGTGTCTGCACTACAATAGTTAAGACAATACATTAGGTCGCAAGATCAATGAGTGCTTTCTAGTGAGGCACTCCACTCGCGCCAAACGTTACCAAAGTTTGTTACAAGTTTACATAACATGTTCTCATTTCAGAATCAAGAATGAAAACATCAGCTTAACATTTTGTTACTCCTCCCATGTCTCAATTAAAGTCTTTCCTCAAGAGAAGAGTCCACCAGAACATAGAAGTTCCAACCAGAAACAAGTTATACTTTTTTTTAAAGAAATATTTTATTTACAAATTTGAGGAATTATTCTGTTGGATTGTCAAAGATGAATTCTTTTTGCTTTCTGGTAAGGTGGTTTTTTTTCCAAGAATACCATGTATTGCTTGTTGCTCACCAATTGCATAGAACTTATGGTGGTTGAACAGAAAGGAAAATAAAGGGTATTGGATTGACAACGATTTACTAAATAGTATCAATATGTGGCAGGGAATTATCTACAGTCTACTGGATCAAAAGAAGGAAGCTGCAGAACAGTTTGAAACATATCGAGCTCTTGCACCTGAAGAATTTCCACAAAGGGGATTTCTTGATGATATTGTGTTGGCAGCCAAAACCAAATCTGGTAAACAGTTTCAGAAGGAGTTTGATGCTGAGTTCTCAAACCGGAAGTAACAAGGCACTTGTTCTCTCAGATATGGACCGCCATATGCAACTTTAAAGGCAATGTAAAGTATTTGGCAGGTGCAGTTCATGTGGATAAAATACAAACTATATGAGTTTCTAAACCAGGTCTATACTTGGCTGCATTTAATCGGATTTGAGATTGGCATTTCAGCTGGGATTGGTTCCAGACTTGAATTGTTTGTCTGAGAGACTCCATCGACTTTCAGTTTTACCGGAGTTATCTTCTTTGTCATTGTTTGTCATCATTTTATACAAGGCCAAATTCTTGTGTCTGCAATTGCCGCTGAGGTTTTCTAAATCATCAGGTTAATTCCAACCAGCAAACCGTGTGATAAGACCCAGCGGAGTTTCTTTCCCGTTTAATTTATCAAAGCTTGCAAGTCCTTCATCACTGATAGGTCTACAGATTTTCCAGTTAAAAAGAAAAAAGAAGAAAAAATTGCAGCATTTTGGCATTGGGGCCTTGTGAAGTTGGGTTATTAAGATGAAGGTCCAAAATTCTCAAAATGAAAACAAACAAAAAAACGTATAAATTAACCAACTCTGGGACTTTGGCTCCAACCAGTCATTCTTATTTTTGGTCAACCTGTTGCTAAAAAATGAAATAGCTTGTATAAAAAAAAAGTTTTTCTTTTTTGTTGTTTAAAATTGAAATAAATGCTGTTGGTTTGACATATATCACTTTTTTTCTTTTTTTCTATTTTTGTAAATATATATATATATATATATATATATATATATCATACAAGTGAATTTCATTGCAGTAAACTCAATTTACAAATACATACAAATAATTCTCAATTTACATTGTCTTCTACATTATAATAACAAAGACAGCTTTACAAAGTGTTAATACATAAAATTGAGCTTAATTCAGCTGAAGTTAAGATAATGATTCCTCCATGCACAAGGGTATTTTGAAGTTCTTTTTTAGGTCAATAGGGTATTTTGAGGTTCAAGCATCCGCCAAACCCACCATGGATATCACTGTCTGATTTTTAACTTGTATCACTGAATGCAAACTTGAACCCTCGGGAATTCCCAATGGAGGATTTAAACATGAAGAATTATTAACTGTATAGAGCTCCCACTCTTTAATTCCGCACTTCTCTAGAGCAGCAGCTAACCTCCCCTTATGCATGTCGTTCGGGTATGCCCCATCTGGACTGACAAGCACAGCACCGGTATAGCATTGTCCTGCAGCTCGAGCAGCACCACTATAATAAAACAAACCCCAACTAAGATCATCAGGGACGTCCACAACTGTCCAAAACTCATTTGAAATAACCCCATTGTCCAAGACACTAAAGTTGAATGTCCCTGGGATTTTACTTCTCTTGACTCGATACTTTCGCCTCCTCCAGACCATCTTCCCCTCCAATGTTCTCACCTGAAAAACTGGCTCATACCAAAATGATCCTCTCGCCTTCCCCCTGTAAAAGAGCTGGTACTGGCAAGGAAATTGATCATAAGCTGGGTTCTGCCCTGCCACAACACGCCAACTCCAATTCAAGCTCCCCAACCAACCAACAAAAAGATCTTCAGCAGTTTCATGGCACAGGTCCTTCCCTTGAAACTTAACCATGGGTGGCACATATGGTTTGTCAGGGATCTTTGCATCCAACCCAAGACAATTGTTCTTCTGCAACACACACAGAGAAAAGGCTTCAAGATTTGGACTCTCATATGAAGCAATGCACCGATAGTTACACACTTGATCTACTGGACTGCATTGATTCAAGCATTGAAGAGCTTTTCGACAATTGGGATCCAAGAGGCAGTTTAGTATCTGAGGCCCGCAGTTCTTCACCATGCAGCTCAGGGTAGAAAGACCTTTAGATCTTAGATTCTTCAGGATCGGGACAGGCCTTATATAAGCATTGATTATGACTAATAAACAAAATCTTATATCATCTGTATTATGCCTGTCCCACGCCTGTGACACAGTCTGGACCACTTCCACTGATTCACTGTCCTTTGATTGAGAAGTATCAAAGATTTTTCCAAATATATTTCCCTTGGTTTCCTTGTGAATATAAGATCCTCCTAATTTGTTTGACAAATTGGGAGATGAGTCAAAGCAGATTATGTTTCCAACATTCTCACTTTTAGTTTGAATCCAATTAACTGAATCTTGATTCGTAACAGAAACAATCACCAGAATATCAGCCCGTCGTAATTCCGTCATGAAATTTACAGCATTTTCATTACCAGATTGGCAGATATCATCGGTAAAAACAAGCATTTCATATCCTTCGTCCACCCATTTCAGTCTTTTTGCCTGTTTATAGAAGAGTGTATCAAGGAAAGTACAAAAGAACCGTGCTTTTCAGATAGCCAGAGAGGTAGCACAAGAAAATATTGCAATTCTAAACTTGAAAAAGCACAAGATAAACTGACTAATAGGAAAATTGGAGTTCATTCAGTTAGAAACGGCCAAAAACCGCAAAATAAAGGCAAACGCTGCTAAAACGAAAGAACATAGAGTGCGTGTGATCACGAAAGTGTGAATTATGAAAGCACATTTTCAGTGTTTTATATCACATGGGTTTGTTTCAGCTAGTAAAGATCACTGTGCACATCACTCTCTCCCCCCCTCCCCCCCCCCCCCCCCCAATCATTTTATCTGAGTGGAGGCTGAGACTCAATGGAAAACCATAAACTACACAAAAAATCCAAAAGCATTTTACTAGCACCATGTTTATAATAATATCTCCTCCCAAATATTATTTTCAAACTTCTATGCCTGCAAAACTTGTAACTCTACAATTATGTCATGTTTGCTTAAATAGGGAGAAAAACTGAGATTAAGTTGTGATTCAAGCAATTTGTTCAAAAATTATACCAAAAACAAAAATGACAACAAGGAGAAAAACAACAACAAAGTGAAGCAACTAAAAATTTGGGTTTTACTTACAGTGTGGAGCATGACCTCTTCCCAAGGTGTGCCTTTAAGAGGGCTGAGGGTACCTTGGCCGACGAGGGCTACTATTCTCACCGGCTTTGACTCTGACTCCGTCACCGCACCCGCCTTCCTTTCCTTAACAGCAGCCGCCAATATGGGGCTCGGCGTACGGTAGCTAGTTTTCTGAACGGAAAATGGGGAAGATGGAAAATGAGCTGCTCTCTGTTGGCTGTCCCGCCGGAGAAAACCGGCCGCCGAGGCTGTGAACCGGCGTTTCAATTGAAATTTGGTTTTGGATTGGATAGGTGGTGGTGGTGGTGGAGCTTCCAGAGCCATGACGTGTGCCTGCTCACTGCTCACTGCTGTGGATTATTCAAGAAATTCTTTCATTTATTTAAGTAAGCTTTTTGCTCTGTTTAATTTGTGAAAATTCTATGGTACATTGATGGTACCCGTGCAGTTACTTATCCAAGGGCTGAAATTGGATTTTAAAAATTAAGGGCTGAGATTGAATGACCTGATGATTTGTTCAGCCATTTCTTATTGAACATCACGTGAGTCACATGTGACTATGAGAAAGGAAAAGAGATCCAAACTCACGTGCCGGAGGTTGTCCACGAGAAAACCCAAGATGCTCGCGATTAGGGATGGGCACAGTATGGTATTGAGTTCGTACTACTACCGATATTGGGAATTAAAACCGGTATGGTATGGTATGAGATTATCATTTGCCAAAATTGGTACCGTATCGTACCTTGCCAAATCGGTATCGGTACGGTATCAGTACCATTTCGGTACCAAAATGACATAACTAAAAAATGAACCAATAACAACATTTAACATTTAACATTTCACAACTTCATAAATTACCACATAACAACAATGAAAGACAGAGCATAGGACAATTCATGAAGAAAATAGCATTTCTTGGTCAAAGACAGAGACTAAGTCTAAGAGTGATCTGAATTCTAATCACAAGGAACAAGACACTCACATGTAGACCCCTGCATGGACATTGATGATCACTCTCAAGAGATTGATGAATGGGAGAGAGTCAATGGCGTCCTGATGGTTGTGAAGTCTCCAGCTGCACGGTTCTTAGCCACATGCAGAGTGTAAGAAGGGAAGAGCTTATTTTTGGCTGTCTTAAACACAGAGTGCTTCAGGCTTCCAACAAACCTCACCCACTTCATGAATTGTTATTTTGAGAATTGGGCTTGTGTCATGTTCTTGGTCAAATGTACTTTCCCAGCTGAATTCCCAAGTCGAAGTCCCTTGCTGTGGCATTGTGTTTGGGTTGAATTGAAGAGAAGAAGAACAATAATAACATAGAAAATGTGTTGGAGTGTTGGCATTTAATTTTTTTTTAAAAAAAATAGGGGCTGATATGAGAAGGAGAGAATATGAGTATAAAGAGTAAAAAAAATTATATTTCAGTATTCAGCACGATACGGTATTGATTGGTACCAAATACTTGATACCGCTACCATACCATACTTTATTGGTACGGTACGGCACGGTACCGATTATCTCCACATCCCAAATGAAACGGTATGAAATCAGTATGGTACGGTATGGTTAATGTACGGTTTCGGTATTTCGGTTTTAGATGCCCACCCCTACTCGCGATTGTCTGCCTCATCCAATCCTGAGCAAGGTCCTTCAACTCTTCTCTCTGCTTGCCCTAAACCTATTTGCAAAACGCTACAATTCATAGGCAAAACCTCACTCAATTGGGCTATGCCTTAGTTAACGGGGCGTCCATTTCATCTAATGCACACCAAATTTAGAGGTATTTAGTTTGATTTGTTCAAAGTGTCAACCGTTACTTCAACAGCATCAATTGATAACGCTGATACATAAGTTCAATCTCACACATTAAGGGTGGCACTGGCCTGACCTGAGATTGCCCATTTCTAGATGTTTATACGAGCTTTGAAGCCCGTTCCAACGGGTACTACATTAAATTGATCTACAAGACTTAATCCCAAACTTGAGAAACAAGAGAGGATGAATGCCCGAAGAGTTTGAACTTTGACAACATCAGTAATAATGGATTTGTAACCGCAGCTATGAGTTCCGA